TGCCAAATAGCCCACCCGACACAGAAACTACACTATGCAGATTTCATCAACGAGAGGGACTAAAAAATTACCGTAATCAACTCTTTTCGCACCTAAATTAAACTCATTCAGCTGAAGATGTACCTCTTTGTGGAACGGGCATCTTTGAACTCGTGGACATTCTACCAGGATATCCAACTCCACCACAAAAACGAGATCATGTAGCAGCGTTGACTAATGAAGGAGATCAGATTTCCATTCGAATATTCGAGAATGATACAGGTAGACAAACCGATGAAATACAAATCAATAAACCTAATATTGAAATTACAGTCCCAGTTCCCCCAGTGAGATGTTCTCTTCGGATAGAAACATGTCCAAACTGCCTAATAAATGTTCGACATCGCCCACCGTCGGATTTTGTCAACGAGAGGGAAATTCGAATGGTAATTTTTGCTTTTATGATATCCTCTTAATTTTGGAATTATCAGGAAAAGCAGGCAAGATGTAAGTCCGTTGAACCATACAAGATGGCATTTCTTTGATAAAGAGCAAATATAGACTTTCGAAATAGCAATCTTTTTGAGGTGAAACGACCATATCTTTACTGTAGAAATCCGCCTAATTGATATGTAGATGCATTAATTCCAGCGCTGTGAGTAGAAAGTTTTTAGCCATCAATAAATTATTATTACGAACTTTGAAGGTTAGCAACATATGAGAATATCAATCTAAGTCGATTACGGTTTGAAAAAAGCCTTAGTTAACTTCAGACGTTTGAGAAACAGAACGAAGAATCTATAATGCATGAGATAATTTCTTACCTACTTGTTGAGGAAATTTTGCATTATGTAAATGCCGCTTTTTTCTTCAGAAAGTCGCGACTTGCGGCACACTTCAACACTTTTTTCAGCCGAGGATTTTACTAATTTAACTCTTTTTTTTAGAACAACAACGGAGAAAGCTTGAATTGAGCTGCTCCTCATTTATTATTTGCACTTCTCTCTAAAATAAAGAATTGAAACCTCTGCCCATTTTTTGAAATTATCGCTCGAAATCTGCACCTATAACAATGATTTCTAAGCCGTTCCTTGCCACTTTTCATTATAAGATTATGAAGGCAGATGTCACCACCACTGCTTTGATTTACGTTCTGCGAACAGCATAATTAGCCGTGACATGACATGTGTCTCATCACCCTCACTTTTCAGCCATCAAGCAAATTCTGAAGGTCGCACACACAGCACAGCGCAGCGGGCTTTGTTCGACCCAAGGCAATTACTGCTGTGGTGGGACATAAATAACGAATACGAATGCAATAACCTTACTTATAGGTGACAATTGATCTGACACTTGGGGTAATAAGGAAAAGAACATGGAGAAGTTGGTTTCAATGGAAATCTTGGAAAATAAATTTTGTTTCTAAAACTTTGAAGGCAAAGGTTTCAGGAATGCTCTTAAGTTGTTGAAAATCCTATAAATCGGATATTAAATTATGAGAAAAAAAGAAAGATTAACTTTATTCGCTTTGAAGAAATTTAGTTATGATATTGAAGTTCCCCTGTTCAAAAGCGCGCTCTATACAGTATGTAATCCCTTATGATTATTGCACTATGAGCCAATAGCCAGGGCATCTAAACAGTGTGTTTGATGGAAGAAAAGCAAATTATGCTGTTATCAAAGAAATAATAGAAAAGTCAGCTACTGAGTGCTATAACTTCATACAAAATTCCACAAATAGAATATTCTAGATGCCGAGTTGCTACGAATCCCTTGAAGATCCAT